GCTTTATGGTAGAGATAAACTCAATATTTCTAACATCTAAATCTTGGTAGTTGACTTCAAAAAGAGGTTAAAGCATATGCCCGGTCAGATTTTTTTTCCATAAAAGCAATAGTGACAGAAATAGTTTTTCTCTATTTGAGTAATTGAGAACCATTTGGTGTTGTGGTGAAAGCAACAGGCTAGAAACGAGGAGACCATGAATTCTGGGTCTACCTTAGGCACAAAGCCAGCTGAGTCATCTTGGGCCAGTCATTCTCTCTCATCCCTAGGAAGCAGATAAACACAAACTACTTTGGAAAATCCTGGCCAAGAAAACTTGGCCAGACTTCAGAAGTAAAAAACTGATATGAAGGCATGTGCACATGCTTACACACACATTCTCTCTCTCTGTGTGTGTCTCTGTGTCTCTCTCTCTCACAGACACACACACACACAAATAAATAATGCTAATAATTGAATGCAATTCAATTGTTGGTTTAAAGCCCTTCATGGCATGGATCCAGGTTACTTGAGGGACCATCTCACCCCACTGGGATTAGCCCGTACCACTCATGCTGGCGGAGGGGGCATGCTGCGGGTCCCGTCAGCCTGATTATTCTGGCTGGAGGGGTTCAGGAGGAAGGGCGCACGGGCCTCCTGCTGTGGCTCCTGCCCTCCAAAACATTTTGCCCTTAATGTGAGGTTGGCCACAACCCTCCTATCTTTTTGTAAGGGCCTGAAGATGTGGCTCTGCCAGTTGGCTTGAGGCCCCAGAGGGGGAACAGTGCAATGATGGTGATGGATTGAGTAATACAGATACCACCAGTGGCACAGGCAGTTATGTGTGCTCCTAGAACAGTGTATATTACATCTCTAGTCTACAAGCTGCACTGATTACCAGTTTGCTTCTGAGTTGCATTTGAAGTATTGTTTTTGACCTTTAAAGCCCTTCATAGCATGGGCTGAACTATCTGAAGGACCACCTCTCCCCTGTTAGATCTGGCAGAGAAGGCATGCTGCAGGTACCATTTTGTGGGTCTTAGTAGATGTACCTTTGTTGTCATGGCGCCCATCCTATGAAATAGCCTTCCTCCTGGAATTAGATTAGCTCCACCCCTTTTGACATTCTGAAAAGCCCTCAAGACCTGGTGTATGTTATTGAGCTTGAGGCTCCCAGCGAACTGGAGACTTGCTTAGATCGCTCCATTGCTGAGCTGATTATTTTTATCCTCCCTTCCTCTATGGTTTGTATCTCTGTTAATGTGATTTTTGTATTTTTTATCTCTGTGTTTTTTTTAATTGTTGTGCGCTACCCAGAGATCCTTTTGGTAAGAAATAGCTATACAGACAGACAGACAGATAGACGGACGGATGGACATCATAGGACAAATTCTTAACCCTTTTCCAGGGCTGCAAGTTGGATCAGAATTGATGCTCCCTAATGACACACTGTACTGGTTAAGGCATCAGGCTAAAAACCAGGAGACGGAGAGTTCTACCCCCGTTTAGACACAAAACCAGCTGGGTGACCTTGGGCCAGTCACTCTCAATCCTCAGCAATGGCAAACCACTTTTAAAAACTTTGCCAAGAAAACTGCAGGAACTAATCCAGACGGTCGCCAGAAGTTAAAACTGATTCAAAGCTACACACACACACAGAGACGCATAGAAGAATATTAGAGGATTTGTAGAAGAAATTTTTAAAACAATATTAATTTAAAGATTCCTTTTGCACCGTATGGAAGAACCCGGTTTCTAAGAATACGGAACTGCCATATATCAGTCAGCTTCAATGCGCTAGGGTAGGGGTAGACAACCTTGTCTCTTTTATGACTTGTGGACTTCAATTCCCAGAATTCCTGAGCCAGCATGGCTGGCTCAGGAATTCTGGGAGTTGAAGTCCACGAGTCATAAAAGAGACAAAGTTGCCTACCCCTGCGCTAAGGGTATCAAATGAGTCATTTGATAATGCCATAGTTCCTGGATCTCTCTAGGTCCAGTTCAGCATAATTTAAGATGGATAATCTCCTTAAGGCAGCTGGGTTGCCTCAGCACTTTTGTTTTCAGTATTCAGTAAATGGTTACTGAAGAAAAAAGTAAGGGTAAAGAGACTTTGGTGTTATATTGACATTAAATAAAATTCTATTAATACTTATAAATAGTGAAATAACCATTTCCATTTACAATTTGTAAAAACTAAAAACACAATCCAAAGTACCTTAAATCAATTCACAATTTGTAAATTGCAATAATGATAACACAATAAAAATACATTTTTACCCTATCGTTATATATTTGGAGAGTTGTGGCTTTTCCCCTCTTTCTTAATTCAACTTGGTAAGCTAGCACTACAACAAAATGATTCCATCGACAAATTGCCTTTTCTATGAGTTTCTTATCACAGAACTACAAAATATTTCCTTTTTGCTGGCTCCATCTAATGGCTGTTTTTGATTTTGCAATCTGATTTTTTATAAGCTTCTAACATAGCTTCAAAAAACTCTGGTGAAATTTATTTTCAAATATCCCACATGACAACATTTGCTATAAACTATTTATCTTCTTACAAACATAGTTTCAAACTAACTATTAAAATAGTTGGTTATTTTAATACTGAATTGTACAGATATTATAAAACTGTCATCTGATTTTTTTAAAGAAACCCATATATTAAATCACATGAGCTTTAATACGGTAATGAATCAGTAATAACTGCAAAAACCTGTACATCAAAGTAGAAAAGTAATACACATATGTATCATATAAAGTTTTGCTCCTTGAGTACATCTGGTTCTTAAATATTTTCCATAAAACTACAGCTAAATATGTTGTCAGTGAAATGGCATGGATTGTTCTTTCTTTTTCAACGCTGCAACTGTCTATATCTCATATATTTATAACATGTCTTCTTGCAGTAATGAAATTGCATAATGTATGTTTTGCATCCCAAACATCCTGCTGGCTTAGTATTTATGGGTGAAGAATTATGTACCTAGTCACAATATTTTATGGGAATGCATGTTTTATTATGTAGCATATCATTCCCAGATAATGAAAACTTCCTTGAAATAATAAATATTGCTGGTTTATTGGGAAACAGATCACTGCATAAATTGTAAGGTTCAAAATTACAGTAGATAGGAATATATTTTCCACGTGTGAACTTGAAAGAATAATCCCAGTGTGATGAAGACCCATCTGTCATATCTGAAATTAAGTCTAGGTTGGCTGCAACATCTGTTCTGTTTCATCAAGTTCAGTGTAAAACAGTGTCCTTCTGCAAATATAGAAGAAGTCTAACAACCAGTTTCTTCCTCACTCAGCTATGTAGTTAAATGCCGACCTAATTTACTCTGTTGTTTACTCCTTTATTTCTGCTCTTGCTTTGAAGAGGGGTGAGCTTTTAATACAACCTATCCCTCCAAACAAAAAATCTAGCAAAATGTACTTTGCAGGATGTTCTATGATGGGTCTTTAAGATGGACTTCACTGGCTCATCTAATCCAGATCTCTGCTAGAATAGTCCACCTCAGTATGTAGAACTAACTAACTTTCTGCTATAGAAATTAATACATTTTTTTATTTGGCGGAAATGGCAAAGATTTCGGCTTTCTTGAAGGATCAATCGCAGGAGAAGTATTTTGCCGTATGGAAAAAATGGATAGATTTTATACAATATAAGTTGGATGTTAAAAAATATTATTTAGCTTTTCAATAACTTATATTTAAAATTTAAAATATTTTCTAGATTTTATTCCTTTTTTATTTTTTATTTTTATTATACTTTCTTTTATCTTTTTCTTTTTTCTTTTTCTTTATTTTTTTTTTCTTTCAAGTTTTATTCTTTTGGTAGTTATGTTTTCTTATACATATATTATTGTTAATTATCTTATAATTTGTTTAATTAATGTATTTAGTATTTAGATTTAGTTATGGTTTATATTTTCTTTTAGATTATTTGAAGAAATTTTAATTAAGCCTATGTTCAGCTCTGGGAAGGTTGGGGGAGGGAATGGGAGGGTTGGGGAGGTTTGGGGATGGGTTGTTTTGTTTTTGTAAAATTTTAAAAACTTAATAAATATTTACAATAATAAAAAAAAGAAATTAATACATTTTCCTAACTGCGTGCCTCACTACTTCCTTTAGTATGTCTGCTTTATTCTTTTGCCAATAACTTTTATTTATTTATTTATAAGACTCCAGGGCTGACTTGGCTTTGTGCATATACTTTGCACAAGAATGTTTACCATGCTAGACCTAAGAGGTGGTGAAGGAAAGAAGGAAAGCAGACTGAGCTGTCTGATTTCCAAGCATGTCCATACCTTATAACCTTATAGACTTTCCCACTTCAGATCAGAGGAATAGGAATGGTGACAGCTTATCCTCATTCTTTAAATCCTGTGCAATCTTGTTTTACAAGGAAGTGAGGAAATGGCTAAAAAGACTCCCGGAATTAAGTCATTTCATGCACCCATATTCTGAGAGAAGCAGTTTTTGAAGCAGCTGTAGATGCCTTATAAAAAAAAGGGGGGGGTACTCTTCAGGGTCCCACATGTTGTGAACTCCCTCTTTAAATGCTCTGAATAACCTAATAAATGAGTAGTTAGTGATTCATTGTCTTTAAGCTCAATTATACAGAAAACTCAAGTTTAGAAGAGGTTACTGTGGTAGAAGGAATAATAATTTACATGAGAGATGGGGTTATAAGGGAAAGAGATGCAAAGTTCGTATCCTCACCCCCCAATGTATCTGAAAATAAAGGGGGAAGAAACAACGGTGAAAACATTTCTTAATAAATTCACCAACCTGCTAAAGAATCTTCTCAACCCTGGCAACTTCAAGATCTGTGGACTTCCAATTCTTGGAATTCCGCAGCCAGCGTGCTGGATGTGCCAACATGCATATCTTAAAGTTGGCAAAGTTGAGAAATACCGCTTTAGCCTTTGTTGTTGTTGTTGTTGTTAGCTCCAGGCAAGCAATAGTATTGTTCAAATCCTTCATTTCTGTATTTGAATAAATACCTCGGCATCGTATTCCCAAAGTTGATTTCCTCTCATGTGATGGCACTTCAGCATAATTACAGGCCCATTGAGCCTAGAGACATCCATACATAAATCATCTGTGCGGATTTCCTTGTCAGCAGTGTATGAAAATACCTGGAAGAGAAAGGTCCTGTTGGTAAACTAACAGCTAATGCTGAAGAGAGAAAGTTAACAACGACATGGAAAGCATATGGAAAACATAGATTTTGCTTCAAACCTGATAACTCCCATTTCATCCATTGCCTGGCCGTTCCAGTGAATGTGAATGCACACAACAAAGATTTCAGCTTTGAGCTCAAGGATCAGCAGTAGGGAATCTGTATTTTGTTTCTTAATCTGAATTATGTACAGCTGGTCCTCATTTACTGACCATTTGAATTTATGACAGCACTCAACAAGTATTATATTTATAACTGGTTCTTCTTGTTGAGGCTATCACAGCACTCCTGTGGCCATGTGAACGTGATGTGGGCTCATGGCAACCAGCTCGCAGTTCTAAGTTGCAGCATCCTGCAGTTATGGGATCACCATTTGTAACAATCACTGCCAGCTTCCAACAAAGTCAATGAGGAAGCCAGGAAGAGGTTGCAAATGGCAACAGCGTAACGTCAAGCTTAATAATGCTGTGGAATTCGCTTAATAATGCAACTTAAAGTGCCAGAACTGCCATCGTTAAGCGACAATCACGTGACATTACATTTTGCAACTGCATTGCTTAGTGACAGAAATTCCAGTCCCAATCACCATCATTAATTGAGGATCTTAACTATGTGAAAAACAAAGTAGTGCAATGAAATAGATCGGGTTCTCTGAAAAGCAACTTAAGAATGAAACTCTATACATCACTATTCAGGAATACTTTTCTGAAGTTAAAGTTACAGAACCGGATATGGAATTGTGTTGTACTCTACTTGATTATCAAGATTAAAGTTGCGTACACTGTATCTTTACGGCAGTAAGTGTCATTGAATTTAATGGGGCTTGCATTTCAGTAGTTAAATATAGTGCTTCTTTTTCAAAATAGTTTGTAATGATAAACTTGGAAATTGCCTTCCATGTAGAAAGCATTAATTACTCCAAGATTCTTAACAGACATTTATAGAAAAATAGGGTTGATTCTGCTAAAAAAAAACAACCTAGAATTATTAGGATGGATTTTGATTGCAAAAGTCATTTGAGTGACTAGGGAAGCCTGAATGTCATATACTCTATTACAATTCTCTATTACAAACTGCAATTAAAACATAAACATAAATTCTGTACACAGGGAGCGATTATGAGGACAAAAATAAAGCACAAATATGTTTTCAATAAGCTCAAGCTTTGGGATGTTTTAATCATGTAAATAAATATTCAAATGTTCGTGAAATGGAGATACAGTTGAGATATTTTTAAAAATTCAGGTTTCTAAGCAGTGTAATCCAATTAAATAGAGTTAATGTTCATGTATGCTATTACTGTTTTATTGTTAAATAGAGTGATATATTGATAGGTTGGCACAGCCTGAGAGACATCTAAGATCTACATCAAAGGCACTTGGTTCAAATCTTCTAATGGCAATTAACTTGATAAGCAGTCTGTGCCTTCAATGGTCCCTGAAATATGAGGTAATATTACCGAACTCCTCATAAGTTCATTTTAGGGATCATAGAATTCAGCTATTTAAAGCACTTTACAGTGTTATATAAATGTGAAACATAAGTTCTCAAACAGCTTAATTAATCATGCTATAAATATTAAAAGTAGCACCTGACAATTAATAAAATGATTCATGCAAATATTACAGGAGAGGTGAATACATGGTTTTTTTTCAGCATAATTTCTGGAGAGTTGACTTTACTGTGTTGGCAGCCATAAAAAAGCAAATCCTTGTTTTATATTTCGAAGAGGAGAATATATAATAATAGAAGAATTGGACAACACACTTTCCTTTGCTATTTTGTCTTCTTTCTGTTAGTCAGAGTGGGCCTAGGAAAACGCATCTGCCCCCATGAACAAAGCTGTAGAATGCAACAAGAAGTGAATAGATTTTATTTGGTTTTGTTTCTAGGGCTGTTCATGATTCTGTTTATGTGTTTACCTTTATTTGTAAGTCACCCAAGGTCGTTTGGAGTTGGGTAGATAAAAAATTGTATAAACAAACATAAATAAAATTCTGTTTTCATAAGCTCTAATGATGGTGGCTGTTCTCCAGGAAAAGATACATGAAAACATGCTGAATCTCTTTTGGTTCAAAATTTGAAAGTGATATGAATATCTTCGGTGGGTTTTTAGATTTCAAATGCTTACATATCCATACAGAACATACCATAGATGTTGAGGGGAGGAAGTCAAGGAGGATTAAGAAATGAAATGTGTGAAGCCATGCAAGGTTGCAATGCAACTGTGTGTTGCAAAATCTCCTCTTTATGTACCTGAATGCAATGTTGCAACACAAGTACGAAAGGACACAATTTGCCTTACGAGGACATGGGGTGCACTTTTTATGATTTTAGCATCCTTATGGACTGCTGCTGATGGACATCCCACACCCCAGTATGTACTGCACAAGACTGACTTGGAGCAGTAAAAGACTTTAGATGCAGCAGCATTATAACAGAATTGTAACTGATTAAATTTGGGATGTAAAAACGAAGAAATGTAAGATGAAACAGGCAGTAAGAAAGGAAAGAATGAAAGAGAAGAAAGAAAAGAGTGCAGAGAGGAAAATAAAGAAAAGAGTGCAGAGAAGAAAAGAAAGAAAAGAGTGCATTCTGAAAGAGTGCAGAGGAGAGCAACAAAGTTGATTAAGGGCTGGACGCTAAAACATATGAAGAATTGTTGCAGGAATTGGGTATGGCCAGTCTAGAGAAAAGAAGGACTAGGAGTGAAAGGATAGCAGCATTACAGTATTTGTGGGGCTGCTGCAAAGAAGAAGGGGTCAACTTATTTTCCAAAGCACCAGAAGGCAAGACAAGAAACAATGGATGGAAATTAATCAAGGAGAGAAACAGCCTGGAATTAAGAAGGAAATTCCTAACAGTGAGAACAATTAACCAGTGGAACAGCTTGCCTTCAGAAATTGTGGGTGCTCCATCACTGGAGGTTTTTAAGAAGAGATTGGACAGTCATTTGCAGGAGGTTGGAGTAGAAGACCTCCAAAGTCCCTTTCAACATTGTTATTGTTACATTTTGTTAAGAAGAAACATTATAAAGGGAATAGGTAGAAATTACTAATTCCAAGCTGCCACTTAATTTGAAGCCAGATCTTGTTCAGAATAAAATTAAGTGAAATTAAAGCAATATAAGTGGCATCTATTTTAATTATTTACAAGGCTCCCAATCATTTTGAATTCACCCTTCAACCAACCTAAAGGTATTCTAATCAAAAGTAAAAGAAATGTGTTCTCCCTTAGTTGTTGAAAGCAACCTTTTGCCAATTAGCTATAGAATGCTGCCTTTGGCAGAGCGTACAAATTGAATTTGATTGCATTACCAATTAGAGAATGCATGCAAATCACTTTAAGTTACCAATTAGGTACATTAGAAAGGAAAAAGATTAAAAACAGATTTAATCGCAATTTATTGTTAATATTCTAATATTTAGTTACACATGATACAAAGTTCTTTATAAAAGAATGTTGCAAATGCTTAAGCTGCAACTATACACATGTAAAAACAGTTTATACTAGCAACTTCTAATAGCATGCAAGAAGGAACAAATGCTTTAATTCTTATCATTCATATATTATTGGGCAATTAAAGGAATAGGAGCCCTTTTCATATAAGACATTTTTTAAATGTATGAGAAAATATATAAGGTTACTTATTGCCATTTCAGATGATGTTGGTCAATATAAATAAAGGATTCTTGCATTAATTTAAAATAAGTAACTGAAGTGCAATGGTTAAGTTCATTTGGGAAGGATAGTACTATATGCATAAGCCAAAGGACTGGATATTCTTTTGAATAAAATATTATATTGCTGATTTTTTTTAATGTAGTAAGGAATATATTAATTACGCTTAATGTTTAATTTACTTAATTGAATATGCTTGCTACACTATACACTACAAAATTAGTTTTATGAGACACTTGAAATTTTGCCTTTATTAGAAAAAACGTACAGAATTTGTGTATCTGTGTGAGAGGAGGCAATATTCTCTATATAGACGTTTTTTAAAATGTAAATATGGACATAGGACTATCCTGCTATTGTCATAAATTGTGTGATAGTCATTATGACATATCAATGGATGGTATCAATTTCTGTCTTGTACTGCTTCCTTTTTAAGGAATCCCTTAAAGTACATTATTTCTACAAATTATTTTAAGAATGTCAGAAATGACCTTCAAGAGATTACAGATTCTTATATGTATAAAACTGGCAAAAGGAACGTCCCTACCATAGTAGTTGAATTCAAGGAGGGGAAAAAAGGTCTTGTAACAACCAGCTCTAATGCAGTCAATAAAGGATGGTATAGGGCAGGGGTAGGCAACCTCGGTTCTTTTATGACTCATGGACTTCAACTCCCAGAATTCCTGAGCCAGCTATGCTGGCTCAGGAATTCTGGGAGTTGAAGTCCATGAGTCATAAAAGAGCCGAGGTTGCCTACCCCTGGTATAGGGTTTGATGCTTGAGCATGGGGTTGGACTGGAAGATCTCCAAGGTCCCTCCCAACTCTGTTATTCTCCTATTCTGTTCTGTTATTTGGGAAGGGGGGAACAGACATTTTTTTCTTTCCAGTTCAACATAGAAAATTGTACTGTAGGCCTCCCAGAGTCACTCTGGATAGTGAGATGGGCAGTGTATAAATTTGATGAATAAATAGATTTAATAAATAAAATAAACAGAAAATGCAGCAGTGCAATTAGAAGGGGATTGAGGCTCCAGGGCATCAAAACAGCACTTTGGGGCAGATTGTCCATTTCTACTTTTATGGTGTGCCATCAAGTCAATATCGATTCTTAGCAACCACAGAGGTATGGGTCTGTCTCCAACCTGGCCTTACAGATGTCCCAACGCTGCACTCATCACTGCTGCAATTGTCCATTTATCTTCCTGCTGATTATTCTCTCTCTTTCTTTCCATTGCTATAGCCTTCTCAAGGCAGCCATATCTTCACATATGGGGTCCACAATATAATTTGAGGCTGACCATTTGTACCTTGTGTAAGAATTCTGGATTAATTTGTTCCATGAACCATTTGTTGGCTTGGCTAACTCATGCATTCATGTATTCCCATGGGTATTCTCCAATTCCAAAATCCAAAAGCAGTGATTCTCTTTCTCTCCTGGTCCTTCAAAGTCCAACTTTCACTCCCTTAGAATATCACTGCTTACACGATTGTCATTTTTGTAGGTGTAGACCAGGGGTAGGCAACCTTGGCTCTTTTATGACTCATGGACGTCAACTCCCAGAATTCCTGAGCCAGAGTTGAAGTCCATGAGTCATAAAAGAGCCAAGGTTGCCTACCCCTGGTATAGACACATCAGAGCATCTGAATATTTTTTTCCCAAGGCCTTCATCACTATATACCCCAAAGAATTAAACTGCAGTATATTTCTTGACTGATTAATAGCCTTTACTATTAATAGTTGATCCTAAAACGATGACATTATCCATTATATCAATATCTTTGTTGTGAGTACAAAGAGTAGTTCTGTACCGATTCTCATTAGTTTGGCCTTCTTCATTTTAATCGCAGTCCCATTTTTTCCATTGTGCTCCTTGACTTTCACTACTACAGCTGGCAGAGCATTTGCATTTTCAGCTATCAGAATAGTGTCATCAGTGCCAGCTTATGATGTTTCTTCCTCTAATTTTAAATAAAGCATAAATAAAGATGTATGCTAATCTTGCAATTCATTCCCCCTCCCCCGCCCAATATTTGCTCAGCTTATGGATTGAATAAAGAAGGAGAGAGGATACAGTCTTGTCTCATGTCTATCCTGACCTGGAGCCAGTCTATTTTGCCACATTTTATTCAGACTGTGATTTCTCGTCCCGTGTATAGAGTTCACATAAAAGATGGTTCAAGATTCCCATATCTGTTAAGGACATTTCACTACTTGGCATGCTCATCACAATAAAATACCTTTATATAGTCAATGAAGCATTTGACCTCTACTTTCTCTGAATTTAAAGTTGTGGGACATTAAATACTTGTATATTTAAAGTGAAATTAAGCTTTAGTTCTTATGCAAAAAAAAAAAAAAATCCCATGCTCTGAATTAATTTTCTATAAAACAATGGAAAAAAAAGCTTCTCTGTTCAATTCTTTTTTACTCCATCTCCTGCAATGGACTAGAATTTGCACTTTTGTCTGAGAATTATTAAAATGTAGTAGGGATAATGGGATGAAGCTTATCTAAGAAAAATAGGGACATTACTTACTTTGTTCACTTAAGACATTGTAATATATCTCAAAGCAAAGCACAGCATAATATAACCCAATACAGAACAAGCTTGTAATATAATTGTTGGAATCTCAATGAAGCTTCAAACTACTTAAACAGATATTTCATTTAGTGATTTTTTTTTTTTTACCAAATTTGATTTTATTTTGTGTTGATTCACTACCACTTAGGAAAATAAGCATTATTTAAGCATTCAGATTTTGGGAGGAAAATGAATCTATGTTCAATATGCTCTGTCAGAATTCTTCAAACTATTCAAGTTCTAATGGAACAAAACGTAACCTGTTTGAAGTGTTCTACCTTAGGGAACAATGAAACAACATCATAATGGCAACTTGGTATGTAATGCACACACACTTATATATCCTTTCTTAATAAACTCAGATTTAATCCGTGGCCTCATCAGTACAATGAACCAAGCATCAGGACTGAAGTTCTGTCCCTAACGTGGGCATAGTTTCACCACACAGGTACAAAAGGACAGAAGCTGTCATTGTGATATTGTAATGTTTATTTTGTACCTTCCCTCCCAACATTAATCCCTGTATCAATGTGCTAAGCCTTAGAAATAATTTTTAAAATAGGGTATATTTTACCTGATTTCCTCCCATGCCGTGACAGTTGAATATGCCTACTTTTTCATTTTCCTTACGTCCCATATTATCTAAACATTGGTTTGTCTCAACATTTCTGATCTGTGAAGAAAAATAAAACTAAGTACATTTCATAATAATTATTACAAGAAATAGTTAAGGGAAAAAACAGCAGAAATTTAATGGTTTTTGAAATTATGTAAAATTTAGGATGATGCCCAATTACACAAACATGCTTATGCTGGGTTCAGTATGAGTTAGTCTCCAGTAAGCATGTCTATTCAAAAGAAGTGTCATTCGATGCACATGTTATTTCTAAATAAAATATTGTGTTAATCGTAGTTTTGTCTAAGAAACGGCACCACCATTTTCACTTGTGCAGAAGAAATAATTTCTATGAAAATTATGCTTTCCAAAGTACTGCTTTTGGAAAGTGACACTCCTAGATAGCTTTCAATGAAAGATTAAGAACAACAACAAAAAAATGTACACGGTGCCCTATTTTAGTGCTTATGTTACTTGCAAAAATAAAATTCTATTTGTTTCTCAGTATTCCTTATATTATAGAAGACCTTTCAAACATTATCCTTGAAGAAAAGCTTCAGATCATATGAGCAATATTATCAGTACAAAGTAGATTTATGAGATATGTTTCAGCCTGGAAAACATCTTATAGGCAATACTATTTCTTTTTGTGGAAAACAATAAAGACATTTTATACTCAATGCTGAGAATCAGGCCCATTGCAAAACAAAAAGTGCTTAAGACTGCTATGTTAAGATGGATATTTTTTTAAACTGGGAAAATAGGTAAAAAGATAAAGGTAATGAATAGGCTTTTGGATTTTGTATAGATCGTTGCTACTGTCCTTCCTCTGAAAATCTCTTGCCAAGACTTCATTAGTTCCGATTCTCCACACAATCGCTTACTTATATATCCTATCTCCTAAAAACACTACAAGGTAATCCTTGCAGGTAATCCTTGGTTACCGACCGTTCGCTCAACATCCATTCAAATTTAAATTTACAACGATGTTGAAAATAGAGACTTATGATTGGTCCTCAAAGTTGAGGCTGTAACAGCATCCCATGGTCATATGATTGCTATTTGTGACCTTCACAGCCTGCTTCTGACCAGCAAAGTGAATGGGGAAGCTGGCAGGAAGTAGCAAAGTCAATGGGGAAGCTGACAGGAAGTTGCAAGTTGACATCATATGACTTGACAACAGGGGCACATTTATGAAGGTTGCAGCATCCCATGGTCACTTGATCACTATTTGCAACCTTCACAGCCAGCTTCCAACAAGCAGTCAATGGGGAAGCCGGCAGGAATTTGCAAGTCGCAGTCATGTGACATCACATTTAATGACCTATACTGATTTTTCTAATAACCTGCAGTCAGACCTGATGGAACTGACCCTGTAAGTCGGTGCAATCACATTATATTGTGCTTAACAATTGTGTCCCTTAGCAGTGGACCTGCCAGTCCTAATTATGGTTGGTAATTGAGGATTACCTGTAAAAATGGCTAGTCTGGCAAGTAGGGATATATAAGCAGATATAGGCAAAAAATTATCTTTTAATTTTCTTGTTAACAATCTTTCAAGATAGACCATTCCAATGTTGTCCTCCCATTTGCTTGGAAATTTGACCACACAAATTTATTCAACATTGCTGGTGTTTCTGTGTGGTATTTTTCTTCTTTTGTAGCTCTAAGATTAAAATCTGTTTTACATTTACAGTTGCATGAACCATAAACGGCAGATTATAATGATCATCCTTTTAGAAATATGGAGAAGAATTGTGGATTTTTTTTTTATGCAGCTGAAAATGTCTACTTGAAATAACAGTCACTGAGAAGAGTAATCACATGGAAATCTCTTTTAAATGTGAGTATGTTAAAAAAGGAGCATAAACTCAGCTTTAAAGTAAGATATCGTATTTTGCTCCACTTCTTTCATTAAGAGTAATGAACGAGTTCCAAATTCTCTCATGAAATGCCCATTAAATAAAATGTGAATACATATTTAGGCTACCCACGGTCTTTCCACTCCAAATATTTTTTAAAAAAATGGATATTAACATACCCAATGTCTGAACTGTAGGAAGTTTTTGCCTAAGTACTTGGACAATCCTTTTTATGAATCTGGACTTCAATGATTAACTTTTTATTAAAAGAGAGCTAAAAGAATATAAAATGAAATATCTATTTCTCAGGAGGAAAAACAGTACTTGATTAGGATTCGTTTATTAAGTAAAAATTGGACAAGCTTCATTAAACTACTTAAGGACTTCCTTCCAGCAGCTTTAAGATTTCATGCTTCGTAATTTTCACTTCAGAATGTCAAAAAGATATCTAACTGAGTAAAATAGTAATTATTATATGATAATACTACAGAAGATCTAGATGCTAACAGAACTATAAACCAGACTGATTTCAGTTCTTGCTTTTAGGAGGTGGATCAGTCTGATAAAGTGGAGAATATTTATTACAGTACACTGAAATGATAGCAACCATATGCTCTTTCATTTTATGAATAATCTCTCTCTAATATAATGGAAAGATTGATCAATATAATTTTGTGTGGTCAATGTGTTTAAAAATTACTGTTTCTCCTCTATGAAATCTAATATGTTTTTGTTTCATTCTTGTCTTGATTTCTCCTCATGTCTTTTCCTTTTCCCATACATTGAAGCAATGGAATATTACAGAAATGAAAGATTTCATTTCAGTAAAAAAAAAAGTTAATTAAATGAATTTAAAAAATGAAATCTGAAAGGGGGAAAGGGAACTATATAGGAATAGGTGTCACAGATTGTATAAAGCCTAGGATATATGATTTTCTGTAAGTTACTCAGATTTTTTTTGCCTATGTAGAGCAAAATAATGTATATTTTTGCTGACAAATATCTTATTCCACGTTCATATTTGTTATATTTCCATCAATGTGCAAACTTCATACCAGAAACATATTCAAAATCACTGTTTTGTTTTTCTGTCAGGGTCATCTTTGATATAGTCTGAAGCTTTTAATTTTTTTTCACCCTTGAGGCATAACCTAAATCAGAGATCCCCAACCTTCTGGGCTCCAGGGACCGTTATGTGGAGAAAGGTTTTTCCACGGAACGGAGAATGTGTGGCTTTGTGTGCTGCCTGCATCCTGAAGATGGGGCTTTGCTTGTTTGTGCAGACCAGTTGCTGGCATGCCGTGGCCCGGTACTGGTCCATGGACCGGGGATTGGGGACCCCTGTTCTAAATGACTGACATCTGCAATGCTAAATACTGATTCGGACCTTCTTCTCAGTAAATTTATTTAGCACACATTGCATGTCTTTATATAACCCCTTTATTTCTTTTGACCTGTTCTTAATAAATGATTAATGCAAATGTTAGTCTTGCTATATCCCAGGAGTCTCCGACCTTGGCAACTTTAAGACTTGTGGACTTCAACTGCTAGAATTCTTCCATCAGCCATAGATGTCTCCACATACTGAGGAATTCTGGAAGTTGAAATCCACAAGTCTTAAAGTTGTCAAGGTTGTAGAACCCTGCTATATCCTATATCAGTGATGGCGAACCTTTTAGAGACAGAGTGCCCAAACCGCAACCCAAAACCCACTTATTTATCGCAAAGTGCCAGGGCTGCATCAGCGTTGTGGTACCCTCGGGTGGGGCCAGGGAGGCGCTTCTGAGTGCCGCCTCTGGCACACAAAAACCAGGGACGCAAAAATGGGCCACCGTGCTGCAAGGGGCAAAAACAGCCATGCCGTGGGGTGCAGATACAAGGCCCTGCACCATGCAAGAACAGGGCAGGGCTAGTGAGTATCACACAGGCACTAGCCTCGCCCCATTTGCAGCACGTGTGTGCTCGCGGCCCCGTGCACGTATGCATGCATGTAAAATGCTTCCCCCTCCCTTTTCTTCCAATCCACCAATCAACAATGGTTGGTGACCTCTGCTCTACCATCTCTACTTGAGCTTGCTAGTTGGCCGCTTCACCTCTTTTGTGCTGGGTGGAGCTCCTGCTCTGGGCAGCAGTGGTGGCCTGAGGCATTTGCTGCTGAGGCACCTGCTGCTGGTGGGGCCAGGGAGGGCTCTGAGTGCCGCCTCTGGCACGCGTGCCATAGGTTTGCCACCACTGTCCTATATAATCTATTCCTAGATAGGGGAAATTCCTTAGAAAGTTACATGAAATTGACAAGCAGTCAAGGTTTCTTTCACAGTTGTTTGAACTTCTCCTCCCCTCTCCATAGAAACCCAGTGCTTACTGATAAAAGTAAAGTACTCTTTAACTATTACTTCCTTCCTTTACTCATCTGACTTTGCTATCCATCTATTATATGCCCCGTCGTGCAATTATTTCTCTTACTTGAAGCTTCTGTTTTTAAAATATTCTTTAAATATTATTATTTTTTTTTCTTAAAATGTTATTTGACCAACTGCTCTGTAAGTTGGTGGATCATATCTAGTTTTGGGCATTCACATTTCTAAGAGATTAATGCCATTTCTCTATCCATACAAGCTTTGGGGATTTTTTTTCTTTTTTAAAAACACAGTAGATCATAAATAAAACATTTTTGCTGCTTAAAAACAAAATGAAAGAAAGTAAAAAATTACTAGAGAAAGTTATCTAGCAATATAGAATGCTTCAAAAGAAGAGCAGTTTCAGAAGGGTCTCAGTCATCACAACCTCTTCCATCCTTGCTCCTCCAGAAAGCAAATATGACTATCAATAAATCCAGTAGTCCTAAATCCTCTTGGGAAGATCTGTGGAGACATTTAATTCCAGAAAGATCTGGAAACTATATTCATTATTTTATATATAAATGCAGTGAAACTTTCTCTTTGCAAATTTTGATGTAATGGATTTTATATATTATTGAAATCTGCTCAATTAACATCAGTTGCCTCATTTCTGTGAACATATCCTCATGCAGACAATGTAACGCCCTACTCTCCAGTTGAGCAGATCTTTTTCAGTAACACAGCCCCTTCCATTCAATTAGTCTGTTAAGGTGAGATTCTATTACAATGGTCCTATCTTAGTTTTTAATCCTAACTTATTTTAACTGTCCTATCTTAGACCTGGATGATCTTAGTGATTCCCAATTTTCCTGAAATTAATGGATCTGCCTCGAGATCTCTAGGCTTGAGCAAATAATTGATGGTGCAAGTGCTGGATCAGTTCCTCTTGAAGCCATGAAACTGCTTGAAGGAAAGCTGATAAAGACACAGCCATGGGTCAAGTCTTGGAACAGATGGAACTGCAGCTACTTGGACCAGAGCAGAACTTCACATGCAAGCAAAGCACCTAGTCTATGCAAGCAAAGTTCCTCTAGTCTACAGGGTCAGACTGTAATTAGTCTCAGAGTATAAACTGAGTATAAATTTGGCCTGAAACTAAATTACACTTGCATATATGAGATATTTTTCATTTTAAAAACAAATTCTTATGCAACCCCCCTGCCCCTTCAATTCATACCTCTCCAAGGGAGTAATAGCGACGTGGAATCTGAGAATCTGGATACACATATTCTAGGTACCATGAAAATGGTTTACATTTCAAATTTTCTCTCAAGGCTTTTCTGACTGATACATCTCCATAATCCACTTTGACAACTCCTATGTTGTTAGGGGGAAAAAAAAGAATATTCAGTATCTTTAAACAAAACAAAGGCACAGTTTTAGCTTTAATTATATAAATTTTACAGTAAACTATAAATATTATCTCTAGGTCAGTAAGGCATAAACACTATAAATAATGCTGTTGCCTTACTGTCGTGCTATTGTTCAAATATTTTGTCATATGTATATACCATCAGGAGTTCAGCATAATAAATATAGCACTCCTTTCTCCAACTTATCCAACAGCTACAATTCTGTGAGTTTAGTCTGAGTCTGAGAAAGAATGATTTGCCTCTAAGTCACTCTGTGAGCCTCTTTGTATGGGAGTTCAGGTAGTCCTCATTTAGTGTCTGTAATTGGGACTGGCAACTTGATGGTTAAACAAAGTAGTTACTAAGTGGAAAAATAATGTGACCATGACAGTTCTTACAATTTTACTTCAGTTTTCCTTCCCTTTATCAATCAAGTGTGAGAGGAGTTAGGGTTACGTTCCTGTGGATCTCTGGACGCAATTCAAGGTGTTGGTTATCACCATTAAAGCCCTTCATGGCTTAGGACCAGGTTACTTACAGGACTGCATACTGCCACATAGTTCCCAAAGACCGGTGAGGTCCCACAGATTGGGCCTCCTTCAGGTCCCATCGGCCAGACAATATCGGCTGGCAGGCCCTCGGGGAAGGGCATTTTCTGTGGTGGCTCCGATGTGGTGGAATCAACTTCCTCCCGAGATTCGAACTACTCCCACCTTGCCGGCCTTTAAGAAAGCCATTAAAACTCTCCTGTTCCGGCAGGCCTGGGGTTGATGTCCCCGGGGGGGCTGGGATACGATTGGGACATGCTGTATGAATGCACTTATTTTTATTGTTATATTTATTGTTTTAATTTTGTACGCAGCCCTGAGTCCCTAGGGATTGGGCGGCATATAAATTTTATTAAAATAAAATAAATAAATAAATACGTTTCCAGAATTCAACTCACAAGGAAAAATGGAAAAATGGGCAAATCTTATAGCCATTTCCCCCCATTCTCTCACCCTTTGGAATGTTCACCCCAGCCTTGTAATGATTAACAAAAAAGGAATTAATTTTTGTATTTACGTATGCTGGAGAGGAAGGGATTTCAAGCACACAATAAGGAATACACATTGAAAGCAATGTACTAGCATCAGCTGTTTGCCTAGCAAGCTCAAGTTGCAACTCACAAGGCAAAGAAAAGCCTTTCGTGTGAAACTGGTTAGGATTTTGTCAGGATCAGGAAGTAGCAGCAGCTTGCTAGAAGGTTCTAATCAACTTAAGGGAAAGCTAAGCTTGCTAGCTTGTGGTTAGCATGTTTTTTAAGGGATGCATTGGGTTTGCATAGGTAATATCTCTGTGCTATCAGGAGGAGGGGGAAGATATAGATACCCCAAAGTTCATAAATGTGGGCACTGTTCACAAGTTACTTTTTCATCATGATTGTAACTGCAAATGATTGCTGTCCGAGGCAGTTGCTAAATAAGGACCACCTGTTGGTTTGAACCTGGAGTTCAACACATTATACCAAGGTGTTTATGTATATATTTTGTATTATAATACATGTACAGATTGCTCTCTGGTTACTCCAGGTTTCTTATTCCAACTGAATAATCTAGTGTAGTCTTTAATGCAGGGGTCCCCAACCCCTGGTTCGTGGATCAGTACCGGGACATGGCATGCCAGCAACCAGTCTGCACAAACAAGCAAAGCCCCATCCATGGGATGCAGGCAGCACACAAAACCACGCCCCCTCCAGTCCGTGAAAAAAACCTCTCTCCACGTAACCAGTCCCTGGTGCCCAAAAGGTTGGAGACCTCTGATCATCATTCAACAGAAGTTCTTTTCTGGCAAACTTGTAAATTCTGACAGATTTGTAGAAAAAGCCATTCTTCTAAAGACAGAAACCATTTTCAAATTAGTAGAAATTATGTCCCTTCCCAATCACTCTACAGCACACATAAAACCTTCTGTGGTGTCCCTCAATACTCCAAAATGGTTTTGGAGCGTACCTGGGAGTTACAGAAAAGAAACAATGAGGTGTTTCATGTGAGGGTATCTGCCTTGCGGTGTTGATTTATAACCTTGTTGAGCACTGATCATCCTATCTGGCATGGTATACGTAATCTTTAGAGTAAATGATTAAGAATTAGCTTTCTTAGAATACAATCTGAAAAAGCTCTTAAATAGCATGCTACTGTCAAATTACCAGTAGCTAATTAATTCCTACAAAAACAAATGCTGTTTATTACTATGAAATATCTTGAAGGAGAAATTTGTCTCGCTTTATGGCATTCTAAAGTATTTGTTTAATAGCCCAGCAAGAGAAAAAACTATAAATATGGAAATATGGATGAAACTAACCCAAATTCCATAGCTTTTCAGGAGTTAAAAATTCCACCCACCCCTCATGACACTGCTGCAGCATCTCGATGCTCTGGAGTGTCTGCCCCCCATGGTAACCCCCACCCCCAGCTTGCTCTCCTGTGGTCCTGTGGTTATAATGGCAACCAGGACTGTAGGGTCTCTGTTGTTAAGAAAGACAGACATGTGTTTCTGTGTTTCACATCACTTAAGATGGAAATTCCACTCCCAATTGCCATTGTAACCTGACTAACTGCTTACTGGTATTGTCAATATATTTAGTTCCTTATTTGAAAATGTATTGCAGAAGTGAATGTAACAAAATTTTCATTCTTTACATCAAGTGTCGCTAGCATAATTAATTATGTTATGATTCTGTTATGTTCATTCACACAGGTAGTCATTTAATGGTTGCTTAGCAACCATTTGAAGTTAAAACAGGCCTCCTAGAATTACATACAACCCATTTTCGAAGTTCTGATGGCCATAGTCCCCTCTCCTGTCACATGGTTGCATTTTGGGTACTTGCCAACTGACTTGCATTTATGACCGTTTGCAGTGTCCCATGGTCACATGACTGCAGTTTGGTGGGTTTTGCCAGTTTTTACCATTTACTTCTGATTCCTAGCAAAAAACACCTATTGGCACAAAACAACCACTGTGTTTGCTTGTTGATTGCCACAAAAAAACCCCGTAAAATCAGGTGCAGTTACATGATGACCCACTTAATGACTGCCGTGTTTTATGATAATTCCGGGTCAGTTATGATTGTAAATTAAGGACTACCTGTAATATATCTCAATATAATTTTCTGACAAATAATTGTGATCCCTGTTTTTTAAAAATATGATCTAAATTGGACCAATATACACATATAGAGTTGCAGTTTTCATATTCATAACTGATTTCAGTGATATAAGGTTTTTTTAAAGAAAAAAATGTATTAAGGATTATATCAAACAGATAAGAATAATACAACAACCTAATACATTAAAACATTTGTGTGTGCACATAAAAATGCAGGGGAGCACCACCCCCCAAATAAAATAAATATATCTTCATTCTGTATCTCACCATCTTTCTATAAACCTGTCTCTAAATCCTCAAGTCCCTTTATTCATCAGCAAAAGTTCAATAAGTGTTCACAGAAGGAACAACTTAAATATTTATATCTGGATTTCCATTTAAACAAAGTTCCCCCATTACTCTCACAGTCCAAAACAAGATAATAATCCACACCATAGTTTTCTTTATAGATATCTGCAGATGTATGAAGGATATCAAAAACCAGGGAATTATCTCAATGAGTCAGACGTGTTATGTTCCAATGTGAACCCAAATGTTCTATATGATCCAGAATGAATGAATGAATGAATGAATGAATGAATGAATGAACGAACGCCCATCGGCATACTTACGCTAAAAGGATAACAAGAGAAAGGTCAATGCAAAGTCTTCATGATTGTATTTGACAAAATTTGGTAATTTCAAAGCACTTATCTTTGCCAATAAGAAATACGTCTTATAATGAAAGCAACTGCAATTTATGATGATACAAGATCAAATATACTGAAATTGAGTATTAATAATGGTGCTACCTAAGCTTCAATCTCAGCAAGATAAGAGAGCAGATCAAGATCTGTCCAGACAAAAAAATAAAATGAAACACTGTACTAATAAAATGAAGAAAGTGGGAGTGAGAGGAGGAATGAATAATGGAGTAGAAATCTGTGCATTTAGTTTCCTACCTAGAGAATTTTTTTAATTCTCTACCTTCTGAATCTGAATCTCAAACTTATTTCACCCTAGTATAATCAGATTTTTAAAAAACCTGAACTATGAGCTGACTTTGGAAGGCAAACCTAAAGAATGAGCAATTTTGGAAAAAAAGAAAGCAAAATTTAATAGTAGTCCTTTTCTGTTATTTAACTATTTTTAATCATTTCAAATGATTACAACTGTATACATAATAAAGGAAAAACAATACAAGTTGTACTTGTAAAAAACATACAAGAACGTAAACAAGAGAATATTGGAGAAAAGAATCAAAATAACAGTAAAATATGGGTTAATAAAACTGAAATGTTGTATGACTAATACATTCTAGTATATCAGTACAAACTTATATAAGTTAACTATTTTTAGAGAACAGCTTATGTTTACCCTTAGTATCCAGCAGATGGAACTGTTTTCCCATAAAGTCAATCTCTAGAAACAGAAGAGGTTTTGATGATATTTGATTGAGAATAATGTAGTTCTCAACAAGAAATGAAAATCTATTTTCATATCTAAGTTTCAAACAGTGAGTGCTTTGAGTATTTTAAGTTGAATTATATAGATCCATAAAATTAAGTGTTTCTCTATTTTTTTCCAAAAGTTTTGTTCCAGGATATCCAAAGCTTTATAAATAGTATTAATATTACTCATCCTGGATAATTTAGTAGTAAGCGCTGAAACAAACATTTAATTAATTAAAGGGAGTAATAGAGATAGAAGCTTTGTAGTAGACAACTCATAAAATGAGGAAATTTACCAAGCAATTCCTACAGCAAGGTTTGTGCATGACGGTAGCTGTTTCATCTTATTTGATGATTTTTTTTTATTCTCCGTTTAAATTCCATT